TCTCACTGTTGTGGCCTCTCCCGTTGCGGAGCACAGGCTCCGGACGCGGAGGCTCAGCGGCCATGGCTCACGGGCCCAGCCGCTCCGCGGCATGTGGGATCCTCCCGGACCGGGGCACGAACCCACGTCCCCTGCATCGGCAGGCGGACTCTCAACCACTGCGCCACCAGGGAAGCCCCAACAGTGATATATTTTTAAATTGAGGTATAATTTATATCAAACTGCGTGTGGTATTTTAAGGACACAGGCTGGTGAATTGGGGAAATGTGTAAGCATTACCCCTGTCTAGAGAGAAAAAGTTTCGTCACCGCTGTGCCTCTCTCCACCTACATCGATTCTTGACTTTGTAAGGACCTCACTTAGCTCTCATACAGAGGCTGGTAGTGTCATATATTCAATCATTATGTTTGTATGACACTAATCCTTCCCACTGTTAACTTGTTAACCGAGCGTAATTATTAAAAAAGAGTTAAGCATAATGTTAAGAGACACAAAATAACAACATCCAGGCAAGATTTAAAAAACAGAGAAAAGAACCCGTGGCTTCATTGCCACTCTCCAGATGTGATCTCTTTTTTTTTTTCACATTTTAAAACACTCACCTGCTATTATTATGTCTTCAAAACAATGCCCCCAGGCTCCAGAAATAAATTTTGTCCCTTGATAAAAAGATGTATCTTTTCATCTGAGCCTGGGCCTCCCCCAGCTCCATGGTGGAAAACTTGGTCCCAAACTTCCATCATGTTCCGTAGGTTTGGGAGCCTGTGGGTTAGCGAGATCAGTGCTGCACTTCAATTCACCATTTTGGGGAGCCAGGGCATACCTTTAATCAAAAGGAAGAGACTGACACAGACATGGAGAACAGACTGCTGGCTGCCGAGGGGGAGGGGGTTGGGGGAGGGATGGAGTGGGAGGTTGGGGTGAGCAGATGCAAACTAGTGCCTATAGGATGGATAAACAGCAAGGTCCTACTGTAGAGCACTGGGGACTATGTTCGGTATCCTGTGATAAACCATCATGGAAAAGAATTTTAAAAGAATGTGTATATATATATATATATATATATATATATATATGTATAACTGACTTTGCTGTACAGGAGAACTTAACACAACATTATAAATCGACTGTACTTCAAGGAATAGATAATAATTAAAATTTTAAAAAGTAATGATTAAAATAAAAGAAGCGATTGGGGCTGCTATTTGATATAAAGTGGTTAGGAAAGTCTCTCTGATAAGATAGCAGTGCAGCAGAGACCTACATAAAGAGAGGCAGCGAGCCATGTAGCTCTGGAGGTGGACGGTTCCAGGGAGATACAGCCCCTGCAAAGGCCTGAGTGGACACCCTGTGTGGAGCGTTTGAGGCAACCCCCAGTCACCAGTGAGGCAGGAGCCTGGAGGGGGGTGGAGTGATGGGGTGACATTGGTGAGATGTGTCAGGTGAGGTGGGCAGATCAGTGGGGACCTATTGCCCATCGTGAGGGCTTTGGGTTTTGCTCTAGATGACGTGTGCAGCCATATAAGGGTTTCCAAGAAAAGAATGACCAATCTGCCTCCCATCTTAAGACGATTACTGTGGCTGCGGACCTGGTAGGGGGGCAAGCATGAGAACAGGTAGAATAATTAAGAGGTCACCTCAGCAATCTAGGTGAGAGAGGGCGGTGGCTTGAACTTGCGTGAACGCAGCAGAGGTCGTGAAAAGAGGTCATCTCTTGAAGGGAACCAATAGGATTTGCTGATGGCTGGGATGTGACGTAAGAGAGAAACAGAGGAGTTAAAGTTGAGTCTCCGTTTTCTGGCCGGGGCAGCTCAGAGCAGGGCGTTGCCAATTGCTGAAATAGGGAAGACACCAGCACAAGCTGAGTTTGGAGGGAAATCGAGAGTTCATGTTTGGACATGTAAACTTTAAGATGTCTGTTAGGTACCCAAATGGCAATGAACCCAAGAGCCTGAGTTCAAGGGAGGGAGCGGATGGGGAGAAACCACTGGCAGACGGTCCGCAGGGGAGTGGAAGCTGGTGAGATCGTCACGGCCTTGATTACTGAGGAGGAAAGGAGACAGAGCCGTGGAGCCCCCTGAGCTTTAGAGGGGCAGGCGGGGAGGCAGAGTCGACAAGGACGGTGAGGAGTGAAGGAGGGGCAGGTGAAGGGGGCGACCGCCGGCTGCAGTGGGTGAGTCAGAGAAGGGCGGAGAAGCGGCCACGCTCTGTGACATGGAGCAGACCAAGTGCCCAGGACAGCCTCGTGGACAGTGAACGTTTCATTAAATTTAGGTCTCTCCCCACCTGCCCCACCTTCTTTCTGGATTTGATGGCAGAAAACCTCACCTTAGTAAGTGCCTTGGCCGACCTCAAGGGTCCTGAAAGCCTTACTTGGAGAAATGCTCTTCCAAATCCCTCCTGCTTTGAATTGACTTAGGGCGAGCTCAGGCTGGACCCACTCTCCTTACATGTGGGAGGTGACTCACCAGGAACTCACAGACGTGCAGTGCTGTGTCGTCTTGGAGAGGAAAGGCAAGGAGGAGACCAGCGTTGTGAAGGGCTCACTGCGGTCTCCACGTGATGCCTTCACATTCGTTTACGTCTTGTCACATACATTTGTATTTATCGTATGTGAAGCGTCAGGCTTTGAGCATCCACCACGATGGTAGTGGTTATTTGGCTTTTTGGCTAGTCCCACATCTAAGTTGTGACGGATAAATGGATCCCAGCAGATCCGCCAGGTCTGGGTATGATTTCATTTTACAAATGCTGACCTCAACATATTCTTAAACAACCCCCTGATAAGTTTGTTTGCTTTTGTTTGTCTTTGTTATTATCTTTAGTTTTTTCTTCTAGTTTTATTGAGATACAGTTGACGTACAGCACTGTGTGAGTTTCAGGTGTGCAGCATCATGATTTGACGTATACACATCATGAAACGATGACCAGAGTGAGTTGAGTGTACCTCATCATCTCATATAGATACAAAGTCAAAGAAATAGAAAAAGAGTATTTTTCCTTGTGATGAGAACTCTTAGGATTCACTCTTAACAACTTTCATATATAAAGTACAGCAGTGTTCATTATATTTACCACGTTGTACATTACATCCTGAGAACTTATTGGTCTCATAAGTGGCCTGATAATTTTTTAGGGCAATACTGACCAAGGTTTATGCTGATTAATGAAGGTTATATTCAGAAAGTTGTATAGCATATGTCACAGTTTGCAAAGCATTCTATCGTACAGAAAGCATTTGAGCCTTAAAATGACTCTGGGATGTAGGCGTATGAGTTACTAACTGCTGATTTTCCAAAGCAGGCATCCATCGCTCTCTCTTCTTCCTCTGTGTCCTGAGCCACATCAGTTGCCTCCTTTCCGGGCCACAGAGGATATGCCAGACTATTCCTATGTTTAAATAAATGTCGAGAAATTAGACCCTTTATTGTTGGAAATAAGATGGCTTCCCATACATCTGACTTTTTTTATTTACCCCGGGCTAAATGGCTATAATACTGGAGACGGGGAGGGGTGGAGGGGTCATTGCTTTGGGTGTAGCAAGACTGGGGAACACCTAGTTCCACACCTAGTTGTGACAGATTTCAGTGGTCGCAGCAAAATGCAGGGTAGTGATGATCGACAGGTTCTTGCCTGTGAGCTCAAACCAAAACCCAAATTAAAATGATTTTAGAAAATTAAGAGAATTTTATTTTAATTATTATTCTATTCTGTTCTATTCTTTTGGAAATTACTTTGATCTGAAATGTGTTTCCAGCCTGGTCTTGAAGGACTCTTACAGGTAGGTTGGCAAGGTTTTGAGCTGGTAAACATTTTGACTAGCCTGTAGAATTTCCATGCTTTCGTTGTATATTGTGAGAGGGTACAGGTCGGTGGTTTGAGTATTCCTCCTGTGTCTTGCTCTACATAATGACCACAAGGTTTTCCTTGCCTATGATTTTTTGGTAAGATATCTTCAGCCTGGCGTTATTACTTTGTCACATTCGGGCTTGCATTATATTCGATTGTGCATTGAGGAGTGAATGTATAAATCCTATTTTATCCTGCCTAGCACGGTGTAAGTTTTTTAATGGCTGGCATGGTACTGATTCACCTTTGCTACTTCTCAGAGCCCAGCTCAGTGCTTTGTACATAGTTGGAACTCAGTAAACATTTATCAGATGGACTTGCATTAGTATTTGGTAACTGTTATGTTGGCTGCATTGTTCGATGACAAATATAAAAGGAAAATATAGAATAGCAATTAAAGATATGAACTTATTGAATTTATTTATTACCTTTATTTGATATGTACTGTTTTGCATGGACACTAATTTTTTTTTTTTTTTTTTTTGCGGTACGCGGGCCTCTCACTGCTGTGGCCCCTCCCGTTGCGGAGCACAGGCTCCGGACGCGCAGGCTCAGCGGCCACGGCTCACGGGCCCAGCCGCTCCGCGGCATGTGGGATCTTCCCGGACCGGGGCACGAACCCGTGTCCCCTGCATCGGCAGGTGGACTCTCAACCACTGCGCCACCAGGGAAGCCCACGGACACTATTTTTATATTTCGCTATTTACCGGTGTACCTTAACACAATTATAGGTGATAAATTAATTGATACTTTTAATCCAGCTTCTTACGAGAGAATCGTCTGCTATTTGTGGGCAGAATGTGGCTCCTGATACTTCAAATGACCCAAAACACACTTGGTTTGGTGGCTTCAGATATATTTATCCGATCTCTTGATTTCAGTACTGAACCAAACGTCCTAGAGATTCCGTGAACTGAATAGAAACCCCATGGCAAGACGTGCTTAGACGTTTTCAAAAGCCAGAATTATTCTTTACTTAAGAAAAATCAGCCTTGAGAGCTTTAAATTATAATAATTAAGTCTGTGTATGTGTCGACATTTTCATAGACATTACCTGAAGTTTTGTTTTTTGTACACAATAGTACCGGGAAACCCAAACATGAGTGGTTTCTCCAGAAAGATTCCGAAGGGGACACACCTTCGCTTATCAACTGGCCTTCCAGGTATCTCCCGAGCTCTCGGCTTGCGTTTAGCGACTGCATCTCTGGTCCAGCTGGCTTATGTCCCGCACGTCACCAAAACTAACTCTCCTTTGCCCTCTTTTTGGTAGCAGGGCTTTTAAAAGTCATGTGTTCCCAAGGGGCTGCTGGAAATTACTTTCCAATCATTTGCTTTTCTCTTTCTCCTGCCCTAATCCCTGCTAATGTCAATAGTATTTCCCTTAGCTTCTCTTTTGGAAACTCTTTTGGCTACACCTCTGGCTTTTTCTCCTCTCTCACACTCACGTGCTGCCAGGAAGGGGCAGTAGTGACGTTGTAACCAGCATCTCTGGGCTGCTCCCCTGAACCAGGCTAACCAGCTAGTGTCCTATCTTGTCCGCAGCTGCCCCTGCCCCGCCCTGCCCATCCAGCCTCCTCCTTTCCGTGTTGCCTGTCCCTCAACCATGGGCACAGCTACATTTAGGGCATGTGGTTTTCAAAGCAGACAAGACCCCCTCTCGTTTCATTGTTAAGGCTGGGGGCAGGGAGAGGCAGCAGGACTTAGAATGAATAAGTCATTGGGAGGACAAAACACCCATATATTGAGTTTCTGACAGTCACTTTGTTCTTGGCCAAGGGCAACGTTCAGATTGTCTCTGATGAGGACACATAGTCCGCAGGAGAACTTGAACCACATTTCAGCCGCCTTTTGATTAGCAAAGATTATAAATATGAAAACATCCAGCACTGGCTAGTCTCTGGGAAGAGTAACAACCCAGAATGCTTTCTTTCCCCTCTGAATTGTTCATAGTAACTGCCTTTTAGGTGTCTTTGATTTTTTTTTTTAATGAAATATAGATAGATACCTTGCATCTTACGCTGAAAAACATGCAGGTATTTATATCAAATTTAGCAGGGTGCCTTTGTCATTTAAGGAAATAGTCCCTTCCAAAAAATAAATATCAGAAGCAATTATTTTTGCTGAGTAATCTTGAGTAAATAAAGGTTTTACGTTCCCCAAGAAATCGCTTTTCCCACTTCAAAAGCATTTCTTTATTTTTTAAAGATTATCCCCAGGAAGGAATCCATTCCTAAGCAGTCTGAATGGTTTCTTCTTCCTCACTATGTGGTATTTTAAAAAAGTAAAAACAAGCACTAGTTTGCACTATTGGACATTTACTCTTTGCTAAGCACTAAACCGCGAACTTTGCAGACATCACATTATTTCCATTTAAAAGGTGAAGCAGCTGGGGCAGGTAGGTTACCTGAGACCATACAGCTGGAACTGGCTGAGTCAGGCTTTGAAAATCTCCTGGGACCCACAGCCAGCGCTTTTGGCTACAGTCATAAGAAAAGGTTGGTAGCTTTTGAAATGGATTTCAGTTTTGCTCTCAGATATTTAAATAGCTCTAGAAACAACCAGAGCCCTCCCTTTTTAGATTAGTTTTTAACTGAGGGCCTAATGGCAATTCCAGAGGGGAGAAAATGTTCAGTGCATTAATTCTTTCAACAAATATCTTTTTTTCCTAACGTTCTTCTTAGCGCTCGAATTGCTAGACGTCATGGTGTCTTAACTGGTCACACGTTTTCTGAATGATTGAATGTAGTCTGCATGGCATGAAAAAGTTTGTGACTGTTGAGTGCTTGAAAAGAGGTAATCGTCTGATATATCTTGAGCTCAATAAAAAATAATAATAATCACGAATGCTCTGACATTTACAGGAGACAATGAAATTTTTTTTCAGTGGGAATCTACAGTTTTTATTAATCACATTCATACACAAAAATAGAAGGGGCTCACAGAAATATCACTTTCAATACATATCTCATAAATGCCTACAGTTTGTGCTTTAACTTACAAGAGGGAATAGGTGCTGGGCAAAGGGATTTAGCTAAGGTACCACAAAAAGCTTAGAACAAACGAGTGGAGAGCTAACTCCTGAAAGTAGGAATTAGTCTAATATCCACACCGCAGGTCTGCACACAACTGATCTTCAATAAATGCAAAACTACCACAAATAAAATTCTCTTAGACCTCAGACCAACAAGCACCAAGCTTTTCTGAATGTAAATATAGTTTTGAGCGGTAAGCAAGGTCGAGCAGGAGACAGTGAAATTACATACGGTCTGCAGGCTTGTAAACGCCTGGAAGCTGCCCCTGCCCCTTACACGGGGCCTGTCCGTGTGGAACACGTACCAACCCATAGCCCAGCCTCAGCGTGCCCTGGCGCCTACCCGTGGTGCCTATTAATGAATCGTTCTGTGGCTTCTGAGTACTCGTCTAGTCGGAAGGCATCCATTCTCTCCCAGGGTAGCATCTGACCCCTCCTAGCTTTACAGAAGGAAGGGTGAGTTTGGCATTTGGAAACTCAACCCAGACTCCTTCCTCTGGCAAACAGCAGTGGGTTTCTGACACGGATTCCACCCGCCCCCACCCCCAAGATGCTTTTCCGTTCTCTGGGCATCCCTGATCTGCACACACATGCTCTCTTCCCCTTAAGCAGTTACTGCACTTAAATCCTTTTTCTTTCTTAAAGAGTTAAAGTTAGAGAAAAACTGGTGAGAGAGGAGAGTGCTCGCAGCAGCCCTGAACTTGCCCCTGAGTCCTTAACTCAGAGGAGACACCAGCCAGTGCCAGGCCATTACCTGGCCTTTCGGTCAGAGAACTCAGCCTTCGATAGGGTCTCGGGCAAGGCAGCCAGCTCTGCACGACAGCCCATCCACGGCTACGTCCAGCCGGCAGATCCCAGTCACACCATCACGCTGGCAACCTCGGACACCCCAGAAAGCGCATCCGAGTACAGCTGGGTGGAGTCGGCCACCCAGACCGTCACAAAGCCTCCCCCCTCGAAGGTTCTAGAAGGTGAGAGAAGAGATACCCCGGTTCTCCATATTTGTGAATCAAAAGCAGAGGACGATGTGCTCTTCTCTGAAGCTCTGGAGAAAAGCAGGAAAACGCTTTTCACTTTGGAGGATCGTGGGCCTGGGAGAAGCCAGGAAGACCCCTCTGGAACCGAGGACTCGGGTAAGCCCGCTGCTAGCACAGTCACCTCGGAACCTCAGAAGGAACCTGAAAGCCTGGCCCGCCCGCCTCCAGCTCAGCAGCCCACGGAGAGGATGGGCCGAAGCGAAATGGTTGTGTATGTTCAGAGCGAGTCTGTGTCCCAAGGTCACAGGAAGGAGGCAGAGCCCACGAGGAAGCGCAAGGTCCTCACCCGCTCGCTGTCTGACTACATGGGCCCGCCTCAGCTGCAGGCCGCGAAGGCCACGGCCCCGGCTTCCAAGCGCGACCCGGAGCCGCAGACGTCCAAGGCTGAGTCGGAAGTGGGCCTGCTGGACACCAGGGTCTCCGTCGCCCAGCTCTGCAATGTGTTCCTGCAGTCAGCCCGGGCCAGCGAGAGACCCGAGCTGTAGGTGATGTCCACGCGTCCCCCCGATGTGTCACTTGCACGTCCTTGGCAGAGTTAATTCACTTCTCGACTTGTGTGGTGTCCTGCCTTGAGTCTTACTAGCTTAGCTCACAAGTGTGTGCAGGGCAGACCATCCAGGACATGGCTCCACGACTACCAGTCTGCTTTCGCCTACTAACGGGGAGCTCTAGCGTGTCGGGTCTCGCAGTGTTCCATCTCCCGACGTGCATGGTAGAGGCATGCAGTGGGATTTGGCGGTGTTCGTGCCTTGACTCACCGAGATGCATAAACCTGTGCTTTCTTCCCTCTCTCTGTCTCCCCGGCTCCCTTCTGTCTACCTTCTCCCCACGACTGTAAAAGCCATTCACGGGTCGAGGGGTCAAGCGAAGGTGCTGGCTTGCCTACCAGCGTGGAACGGGAGAGAGGGTCCCGGAAACCGAGACGCTATTTTTCTCCTGGTGAAAGTAGAAAGACTTCTGAGAGATTTAGAACTCAACCCATAACCTCAGCAGAACGAAAGGAATCAGATAGGTAGGCATGTGTCTGTCAAGTTCCCTGGTCTAGGAACTTAGAAGAAATCCTATGGGAATTTCTATCCCAGGGATGGTCCCGATACTGTTTCGATGGGATGTGATGACTCCGTAATTCTCCCATCTGAGCTATACGGGATATTTATTTGGCTCTTGTAAATGTATCTTTAAAGAATGTTGACCATGACGACACTATCACCACGTAGTTTTCAGTTGCGTTCAAATGGTAAGAAGTGAGAAACGTTATTCATTTAAGGGTATAAAATTTTTATGCCCTTGTTAAGTTAGAATCCAGATGGACCGTCCACCAGATGTTACGGTGAAAAGGGATTTTATATTCAGTTTATAAACGTCTACCTGCGTGTTATCTGTGAGTTTTTAATCTTATCGTATGCGAATGCAGAGAAATGAAAGGGTTCGTCCAAAGGGTGATGATCAGTCGTCTTTAATGAGTCGTACCTGGTCCTGGTTTGTCTGCACAAGGTGAAACACCTAGCCGGTCTGTGTGCACACGTAGCCCACGGTGTCCACAGCTGTCCACGCGTGTCCACAGCTAGAATTGCTACCAGGGGGATATTCTTTAAGAGACTTTAACTGCAGTTTTATTTTCACTTTTAGTTTATCCTTGGATCTTCCACTCCCACCAGCTAATTGTTAGTTATTATTTTTTTGCTAATGTCTTTCCCAGGTCAACTTCAAATTCAGAAATGCCAGCTGCAGAGGGCAAGTATCTGTCTTTTTCTTCTTTGTCATCTCACCCGGATTAGATTTAGATCATAAGATTTTTGCTTCTGGAAAGAATGAGATGATGGAACATACTGCGTTCTTTCTGGCAGGTTTTCTTCCTGTGAATACAATAAAGCCTAGTTGAGATTTTCACACGCACTTTCCCTTAGTGCCAAGAGAGAGAACGGAGCCGTGAACCATACTAAAACAACTGATTGGAATCGAAGAAGCAGACTTTTCTTGTTGCTTTCTTGTTACTATTTAACAATAAAGAAGAGAAGTTCCTTCCATAAAATCTCTTCTTAGTTCCATAATATCTATACTTAAGTCAAATATTGTAGTAGAAAATTATGGCCCAGACAGGAGCTCCGTTTGGTTAATTGCAGTGGGAACTAGTACCTTTTCAGAAGCAGAAGGATAGCCTCCCCCGCCAAGGGGAAAGTATTGCCTGTTGTCATTTTTAGTATATCTAAGAATTCTCACATTCAGAGGATTTCCAGGTCAGCCCTGGGAAACGTTTCACGGGCTTTCCCTACGTTTTCTAATGACATCCAGTTTTCACCTGTGACCTTTTACAGATGAAGAGAAGGTGGATGAGCGAGCCAGGCTGAGCGTTGCTGCGAAGAGGCTGCTCTTCAGGGTAAGATGTGCTGAAGGGCTGTCGGAGAAGCCGTCACCTCTGTGGGCGGCCCCGCGGCCAGCCTGCTGCCTGCGCCGGCCCTGGGCCCACCTGCGCGTCTCTCCTCCGGTGTGGCTGGCGTGTGCACTGCTGACGCCGATGCTGCCTCTCGGGGTGCCCCTCCTCTAGGTCCTGCAGGGGAACAGAGTCGCGACATTCTGCAGCCCCGACTCCCTTTCCCCCAACTTATCAGGATCCACACTGTTTCCAATCTCAGGAAATGGAAAAGTCATTTGACGAGAAGAACGTTCCGAAGCGCCGCTCCAGGAATGCAGCCGTAGAGCAGAGGCTGCGGCGTCTGCAGGACCGATCCCACACGCAGCCCGTCACCACCGAGGAGGTGGTCATTGCAGCCACGTAAGTGCCCTTGGGGCCTTCGGGCCTTGGCTGTAAGGTCTTCTTTTTAAAGAAAGATTTAAAGACTTTTAAAATGAGGAGGTCGGAAGACGGTTCAGTTAGAAGCCACGGAGAAGTAGGTGTTTAGGGATTTTCCTTGCTCTGGTGTCTCTGAACTTTGTAAAGGGATGTGTTACCTATTGTATCTCCTAGAAGAACATGAAGAGGAATTTTGTCTAATTTCTTTTTTGCCTGTGCATTTTTTTTATCTCTTTGCAATGGAAAATTTAAATCAGAAGAGTAGATGGGGTAATATCATGAGCCTTCATGTCCTCGTCACTCAGTCCCTACAGCCAACGACCCCCGGCCCCCCTTGCTCTACCTGTATTCTCACCCACATCCCACTTCCTGCTGCAGTATTTTCAGGCAAACCCCAGGTATCATTTCAGCCATAAATATTTCAGTCTGTATCTCAAAAAGATAAGGGTTCTCTTGATTTGTTTTTAAATAATCACGAATTTTTAAAGATTAATTGGAAGTTTGATAACTTTCCAAACCGTGGGAGGTAGGTTTTGAGCATTGTCCCAATGTGTTCAGAATGAATCTCCCAAAGTAATTCCTCCAGGGATTACTGCTTCCATTAAAGTGAAAACTTTGACCAGTTTTTTTAAGATTGTTTTCCCCCCAGACACACACACATATACACACCCTTCCTGAAAAAATGAAGTTCATCTCATCGAGGGCATCAGCAGCCCAACTGTGAACCTGCTGTTCACGTAGCTGCCCCAACTTCCTTCCCTTCTCTGTGTATTTGTGGACAAGTACATCTTGTATTCATTGGGAACTCTTAGCAAATCAGTTTTTTGTTTCTGTTTTTATTTTTTATTTATTTATTTATTTTTTTTGGCGGTACGCGGGCCTCTCACTGTTGCGGCCTCTCCCGTTGCGGAGCACAGGCTCCGGACGCGCAGGCTCAGCGGCCATGGCTCACGGGCCCAGCCGCTCCGCGGCATGTGGGATCTTCCCGGACCGGGGCACGAACCCGTGTCCCCTGCATTGGCAGGCGGACTCCCAACCACTGCGCCACCAGGGAAGCCCGGGTGTTTTTGTTTTTAATATTTGAGCGACTATTGTAAAATAAGAAGCAACTACCCCTGGGAGCAAAACAGTAAATATGAGCAAAAGTTACCCCCTTGTCAGACTTGCTGAATGTACTTTGATGTGCTTATAGGTTATACGAGGACCCTGACTCTTTAAAAATAGCTTAGAACAACATTGTAAAACACGGACACAACCTACTGCTTTGCTGGTGTTGGTTAATACTAGCTTTCTTTAAAGTTTTTTTTTTTTTTTAAAACCGGGAACTTATTCTAAATATTCTAAATCCTTTCCAAGCTCTGAAAACCTATTCTTATTCCACTGACTTTGGTCACCTCTGTCTCTTATTTCCGAAGTTTGTAATTGCTTTTCAAGTTCTTTTGTGATTTTCCCTAAGAAATGAGCAAAGGATTTTGTTCCAATATTTTTTGATTTAATGTTTCTGAATTGAAAACTACACCTTCCTTAATGCTTCTTTTCTTCTCTCTCCTTATGAATGTTCCATCTTTGGCAATTGGTTTTAAAGCGAACCTACCCCTGCTTCGTGCTCTGTGGCCACCCACCCTGTAATGACAAGACATCCTAGTCCCACTGTAGCTAAGAGCCCCGGGCAGCCTGCCAGGTACTGGACAGAAGTAGCTGCATGTCGCACTGAGAGCAGAGGTGCATCTTCAGGTCTTCAATGCCTGTCATTTGTCTGACAAACAAGGAGTTGTCCCAGGGAACGTGGGGCATTTTGCTTTGTCACCCTGGGGACTTCACGTCGGCCTGTATATGACAGCATTTCATCCACGGCCTTTCATTATGTCTTGGAACTCGGATCCCACTAACCCACTTATCCGTTTGTTTTGTTTGTTTTTCATAACGCTGGTCATCCCTAAAAAGTTTCATTCTTCATCTAAAACACTAGCACTTACTAAAGATTAACAGAAAAATAGGACGTTAACCTGAATGTTGAAAGTCTGATAATACCTAGTTTTTTTTAAACACTTCTAGACATAAATACACGTTGAAAAACAGTCCTACCTGTTTCTAATGGATAGAGAGACAATGCCGTTATATTTGGGGATTGGGACAGTAACAGTTTATTGTGTCTGAACTTAGATGTTTTACTGTTTTACTGTTATGTTTTCAATGGTGGTGTTTTAAAATGATGTCCTTAAGGCACGTAAATATCCCCTCTGTTTTATTATCATGGGCCAAATGCAAAGGCTAAAGCTAAAATGAAAAGAAGGAAAATGACAGTGCAGAAGTAGAGCTGGCCTCGTCCAGAAGCGGGGCTCTCTTTGGGGAAGCGGGTTGCCATCATTCCTAGTTCTTTGCTGGACCTCAGGAAAGATGCCAAGACTCAGGTCCCCTTACTCCCATCCTCACTGTGCCCTGGAAAACTGACACTGCTCTCGTCTGGGACAACTTGTAAGGCGCTGGTTAATCAGAGTCGGGGCAGAATATATTTTTCACTGGATTTAGAATTAGATTTTCCAGTGGCAGAATGGACATTGTCTTAGACCTTCAAAGATGAACTGACCCGGTAACTAGAAGCCTTCTCCTCTACCTGGAAGCGGGAGGGATTTATCAGCCCCGACATTGCCTTCACTTTGCAAGTTACCTGGAATTTCAGATTTAACTACCTTTCAGGAAACAGGTAGAAACCTATGAGAGAAAATACTAGACTAAAAAGAGGGAGAGAATCTTTACAATTAAGCTATTTGTGTTTAGCAAGTGAAACTCAAAACCCTGTGTTGTAGATAGCGCTGTTGATAGAATGACTGTGTTATTTCCTAATTATTTAAAATGTAAAGACCACCTGCTGAACCACACCTTTAGATAATGTCTAAATATGCAGTAGGTAATGTCTGCGGACTCCCTTTAGCCGTATTTGTTGTTGATACTAACAGTACAGCTCAGCTCTCCAAGATAAGGTATACCAAGGCGACTTTCATTCCTTAAATAGGCAATTCAATTTTTAGAAATAATTCAGAGCTGAAAGTCTGCTCTGTGTGATATTGACCATGTGAGGGTCTCCAGCCTACGCTGTCGTCTTGTTAATAGCTAACCAGCTGCCGGAAGAATAAGCCCTCTTTCCAATTGAAGTGACACCTTGAAGAAAGTTAACAGACACACTTGGCAGTGGGCTTCTGTTTGTCTCCCTGTGTGTGGTTGACTTTTGCCCCCTTTCAGACTGCAGGCATCTGCTCACCAGAAGGCGTTAGCCAGAGACCAGGCGAATGAGGGCAAAGATTCTGCTGAGCAAGGAGAACCTGACATCTCCACCCTGAGCTTAGCGGAGAAGTTGGCCTTGTTTAACAAACTGTCCCAGCCGGTCTCAAAAGCGATTTCAACGCGGAACAGATTAGACGTGAGACACAGGAGGATGAATGCTCGCTATCAAACCCAACCGGTCACGCTTGGAGAGGTGGAACAGGTGGGTGGCCTGTGACCCAGCTCCAATTCGCACGTATGTCCTTAAAAGATGGGAACACGGTGTCCCTCTGAGGTTAGCGGTATAGTTAGGGCGTCTACCTGTAAACTGTGTTACCTGTCGTTACTTGGTAATAACTTCATTCTTAAGGAGGACATAACCATGCCGAGGATGGATCTCTTCTCTTGTTCGCATCATGGCTGAAATCATCTGGAGTTGGGTCCCTTTCGGGGAGAAAAATAGGGCGCATGACCTGCTTTTCACCCAGATGATTTGATTAACGAGACGCATCTGTACAGCTACGTCTAGGATTGGTTTCTCACCCAGAGAAGCAGGAAAACTGCCCCAAGTGTAGTGTCTCCATCCGCGTCAATCCATACGGCAGTGTTTACATAGGCGGTGTTTTTATTTTTTAATGTTTATTTATTTATTAGGCTGCACCAGGTCTGAATTGCGGCATGCTGGATCTTTAGTTGCAGATCTAGTTCCCTGACCAGGGATCAACCCCCACCCCGGGCCCCCTGCATTGGGAGTGCGGAGTTCCTAACCACTGGACCGCCAGGGAGTTCCCTAGGTGGTGTTTTTAAATCAGCCTTTTCCTTTTGAACTGTGTCCTCCCAGGTGCAAAGTGGCAAGCTCAGCCCTTTCTGCCCCACTGTTAACACATCTGTGTCCACCCCGGCATCTACCGTCACCCCCATGTACGCAGGGAATCTTCGGGCAAAGCCACCGCTGGATGACAGCTCCGGTGCCGCTGAGCAGAAGTTTCCTTCTTCGCTAGAAAGTTCAGACTTTCCAGTTAGAAGCATCCTGAAATCCCAGGGCTGGCAGTCTTCGGTAGAGGCTGGTGGGAGCAAAGGAATGTCGAGAGAATTTGAAGAGACAGAAAGCAAGGGAGTCTTGACAGGTGGAGATGGTGGTGTTACAAAGTACGGGTCCTTGGAGGAAGCAGAGCCATCCTACCCCATGCTTAGCAGAGTCCGGGAAGGAAATGGCCACAAGGAGCCCATCTATGCTGTTCCGAGAAGGGGAAGCCTGGAGCTCGCCCATCCTCCCGCGGCTCAGTTCGGTGATGAACCGAAGGAATTTTCCACTGCACAAAGCACCGCACAGGGGAGCCCGGACTGGAAGGACAGGCAGCTCTTTGAAGAGAAGGTGGATGTGGAGAATGTCACGAAGAGGAAGTTTTCGCTGAAAGGTAACTTACCACTTACTGCTCCTTTCCTTTCTGCTTGGCGGGTCGCGTGTGTTTGGGATTGTTTTTAACTGAATTATGAAGGCAGTTGACAACTAAGTGTTAAGTGTTGATTGAAAGTCTAGTGTGACTCGCACCCTCCTCTTGGACCCGGCTTGTTTGGTGGACTCATCAACGTTTCTGCCATAAAAATACCTGAAGCGCTTTCCCACATCTTGATAAGGGTTTTTGATGACTTTTGTCACGTTAACTGACACGACAGCCTCGTGAACCCCTAGCTCTTTTGGCCCCTTTTAGAAATTGGTGCCCCCAAAGGTCCCGGGCTGGGTGAGCATATTGGGGATAGGGCTGGAACCCAGTCTCTGGGTTTCAGGTTCTCTTCCTAGATCCTTCTCGTGCAGACTGGCAAGCCGTGCTGCGTGGGACTGTAATTCTCTTTCTGCATTTCCATAAAATGATAGTGTGTCAGTTATAATAGTGGCTTTGCTTTGGGAGTCTGACCCATGTGAAATGTCAAAGTATTGTCTTGGAGGCGTAGAAACATTCTGCAGCGTGTAGTCCAAACCGACTTCCTGTGTGTCGCACGCAGGAAAAGACCAGTTGTCACAAAAGAAGTCTCTGGGTGGAGTCATCCGCGGGGAAGTTTGGTTTTCTCAGGGACTAGAGCATGCCCTAGATTTGCATAAATCCAAGTGGATTGGGTAGCCTGCCATGTGCCCACGGATTGAACTCCAAGTGCGGGTCATCCGGGGTCGGGGTCGGGGTGAAGGACTTGAAGAATGCTTGCGCAGGGGAGTAAGTGCTGACAGGGCTCCGTTGCTTCCCAGCGGCAGAGTTCCTGGATCTCACTGCTGAGCAGACAGGCGCAGCTGCTGGGAGACCAGTCGCTCAGACTGCAACCCCCGTGTCCTGGAAGCAGCAAGATCCCTCTGAACAGCCGCAGGAGAAGCGCTGTCGGAGTCCGTGTGCAATGTTTGCTGCTGAAGAGATCAAAGCACCAGCGACGGAGGGCATCCTCGACTCTCCCAGCAAAACCATGTCCATTAAAGAAAGGTAACGAGATTTAACGATTGAGAAGGAACTCTACTGGTGGGAGGGCGTCGTACAACTTACTTTTAGAAAAAGATCTGAGGAATGGGCAAAGAGAGAAACTTATGAATCCAGCTACCGGAGGGACTGTGCTCTCAGGGCATCTGAGAGGAAACCGCGTTTATCCCCATGCCTGGTTTCCTGATGCTGGGAGATGCCGCTTCAAGACTCAGACGAGGAGACAAACAGAAACAGGCTTTTGCCTGCTTCTTTTGTTGGTGCTTCTGTTTTCTTTTTTTATACTCGGTCCTCTGACCAGCCAGTGACGGGAGCAGAGATCGGGGCTCTTTCCCTTTCAGATACACGTGGCTTGAAATTGAACGTGTCCACTGCTTGTGACTGTTTGTCAGTGTAAATTATATGTGGAGGGAATGGATAAAAATGAACATTTAGGACAGAAATCCTGGGGATTAGAATCTGAGTTTTGTTTAGTTCACAGAAAGTAAAATGGATGACTCTTCTGCACTGCATTTAGACGTTTCCTATCAGGTAGTAGCTGTGAAAGACTACATTTGAGGATTAAATAACACTGAGCGCTCATTTCATTCAAAGAGTCACGGAGGGTTCAGAGGAGAGAAAGGGGACAGATACAAAGAATCGGAGTGAAATATTTGGGGTTGTATTTTCTGTGTTAGCCTTTAGCGGAGGATGTGAGTGACAGGAGGACTGGGTCCGGAATGTTCTCGTGAATTTCCCAATTTGATTGGCAGAAGTATGGTTCCGCCCACGCTGATCCCTTCTTAGCACCTCCACTGTTCAGGAGTTTTCTTGCTCTGAGCGGCACTGGCCAGACTGAGGAGGCGTGGGTGTTGGGGCCAAAGGAGTGGAGCGAAATACAGGGAGTGACACTTGGATCAGGGAAGCAGTTTGGCCCATTCTGGAATGAAGTCCTCGCCACAGAAACTGGCTCAAAGAGGGTTTGATCCCAGATACCTCACTTTTTTTTTTTAAATTGAAGTATAGTTGATTTACAATATTGTGTTAGTTTTAGGTGTACAGCAAAGTGATTCAGTTACATGTACATTTTTTTCAGATTCTTTTCCGTTATAGGTTATTATAAGAGGTACAGTATAGTTCCCTGTGCTGTACAGTAGGGTTTGTTTATCTTATATATAGTAGTGTGTATATGTTAATCCCCTACTTCTAATTTATCCCTCCCCCCCCACTTTTCCCCTTTGATAACCATAAGTTTGTTTTCTATGAGTCTGTTTTGTAAATAAGCTCATTGGATTATTTTTTAGGTTCCACGTATAAGCGATATCATATAATATTTGTCTTTCTTTGTCTGACCTACTTCACTTAGTATGATGATGTCTAGCCGCAACCATGTTGCTGCAAATGGCGTTATTTCATTCTTGTTCGTGGCTGAGTAATATTCCACTGTGTACATGTACCACATCTTCTTTATCCATTCATCTGTCGATGGACACTTAGGTTGTTTCCATGTCTTGGCTACTGTGAATACTGCTGCTGTGAACATAGGGGTGCATGTATCTTTTCGAATTATAGTTTTCTCTGGATATATGCCCAGGAGTGGGATTGCAGATCGTATGGTAGCTCTATTTTTAGTTTTTTGAGGAGCCTCCACGCTGTTCTCCATAGTGGCTGGAGCAATTTACATTCCCACCCACAGTGTAGGAGGGTTCCCTTTTCTTCTCCACACCCTCCAGAGACCCAACTATTGATAACTGGTTAGGTGAGAAGGACGAGGTACCATTTAAGGGAAATAATGGTAACTATCCACTTATACACAAGTTCTGATGCTTTACCCATCAGAAAACATCCTTGGGGTAAAATTCCAGTAGAAAATAATAATATACCCCTTCTCTCAAAGGCTTTTAAAGAGATTCCCCATCTTGGGGTACATTCTGTCTGTTAGACAAAAAAACTTCATCAGATGTCCTATCTGCTATGCAGTCATTCTTGGTTCACTTGCCTGTTTTTAGTGAATTTTAGTTTCTCTCTTTCTGAAAACAATTTTAATCCTGCTGTAAAATTGTAATTTTTAAAAAACGCGAGATGTGGTAAAGGTGCGTGTCCCTAACCCGGGCTTTGTAGGTGTCTGAGGAGATGAAGGGTGGCTGTAAGGTTGCTGTGAGCTGCCTGGAAGGGTGTTCAAAGCCGACCGCGTACACACGGACCTCCTGGCTGGTGGGAGGTAGCGCTTCTCACAGATCCAACGGGCTGCTGGTCCCATCCTGTCCAGAAGCGTGATCATGAGAATGCTTCTTAAATTTTCAGCTATTCAGTTTAATTGTCAAACTGTACATTTAACAAAGGAGGAGGGACACTTTATTTAGCATTTATGTTTGTAATAAATTATGCCAAAACAAAATATATTGCCAGAGATCTCCACCCCCACCCCCCTTATGTTGATGGTACTTTTGTTTGTGCTTTGCTAAAGCTATATATCTTTACGGGCCATATGCGATAGCTTTTCCCCAAGGGTGGGGGTCTCTATTACTCCCTTCTGTTAAAATAAAATAATGAAGCTTGACCATTAAAAATAAGAATGCTCTTCTTATATTCATTTGGGCTTTCCTTTTTTGAGATGACATAAAACAGAACTTTTAAACCTTATTCTAATTCCTCTGACCGCCTCATTTCGCGGAAGGAGAGGTTGAATTCCAGTGGCCTCTGGGGCCACGTGGCCAATAGGACCACCCCCAGGGGCTGGTCGTCAACTCTTCCCCTCAGTACACGTGACAAGGCTGCCGTGTGTTCAGGTCCGCGTTTCAGCAGCTGACGCGTGTGCTCACGGGGGGACATCGGTTAGAGGGCAGAACTTCTAACTGGACAGCAGTGCTCAGAAGAGCGCACCCTCCTCCTGTACTAATTTCCTCAACTCACGTGTTCTTCGCATCACTTGTTTCAAATTTCACTTTCACGTTTCAGACTCTTCAGAAGTAGTGACGGGACTTTGTCAATTTCCTTCATCGTTTCTTCTAAGCAGCTGCAGCCTGAGGATGTGGTTCTGCCTTCCTTGATCTTGTGCGTCTGTCTCTTTCCGGCTCAGGACTTGAGCATCTTAAGTCCTCCGTACCGAGGACCACCGAGGCTCCTAGGCTGCCCAAGGCATTTCCCCTGTGTGACCTTATTGAGGGCTGAAGACAGCCCTTCGAAGGAGGCAATACTATCCCCATTTCGTAGATATAAACTAAGACTTACGAAAGGGTAGCAACTGAGAAATTAGAGGAAATCCTCCATACCTTCCTATTTTAGAACATGTTTGACGGTCGGGGAAACATATCTAAAAGGTCCTTTTCTTTCATCTTTTCTGACATCTCGAGCGTCAAGTTTGGATCATAACTAACATCAAGTTAAGGATATGTTCTGCTTTTCCCATTGGATTAATAAAACCACTGTTTCATAACTGCCTACGTGGTTTGGGTTTAAATTGTCCCTTGTGCGACACGTCTTTGAAAACCATGGTAAATCGAATATATTTTGTGTTATTTAGGGATAAAACCTTTGACACCTCTTTAGAAGTTTATCAGGCTTTTAGAAATCTTTTTTCCACCGTTACTGAAACAACTGCTCTGTGTTTTCATTTTCGGGGGGAGAAGATGACTAAAAAAGGCAGAAGAGCCGTCCTTCCACCGGGAACTTGATGGAGCGTAAGGATGTATTGAACTCCCAGGAATGTTGAAGAGGCCGCCCATGCCTCTGGCTGAGCCTGCAGACTCCTGCCTTATAGGGCCTGGCTGGGGTCCCCCTGTGTTCCCTGCAAGCCCCACCTTCCACCCAGTCAGACTCGAGGTTCTTACCTTGCGGCCCGGAGATTTCAGCCACTGGAGGGCCCCGGATTTGTGTTGGCATTACGGACAGAGGTGTCCTTCCTTTGCTGCCTCCTTTTCTGAGCTTTGATTTGACCTCATATAAAAGACATATTAGTTCACTCCTCCAGCCTATAAACCAGCCAAGGCCAAGATCTGATCTAAGGACTAACCCGTGCTGTTCAGCCTTATCTGTGTGGTGTCCGCGATTCTCTGAAATGAGGGGGCATTTTTAAAGGAGGGAGGAGAAAAGAGTACTGCATCTTAGAGGCACTCGGTTTGCCGGCCCGTGCTCTGACCCAGCCCTGGCTGCCGTGAGCTTGCAAAACCTGTTGCAGTGGAGCAGGGCTGTCAGCACTGCTGCTGACACAGCCCGCCTCGGGCCAGTATTCCCTGCTGGGAAAGCATGGGCTGTGGCTGGAGGGAGAGCCGTTTCCCCAGTGGCCTGGCAAGCACCCATCACGGTGGCCCCGGCCAGGCCTTGGGGTGAATAACCCGCGGGTTCTCAGCCTCAGACTAAGCAGATGCCCAGGCGCTCAACATCCCAGCCCTGCAAATAGCACTTGGACTTGGTGGACGTTAAAAGTGCCGACAGGGCTTCCCTGGTGGCGCAGTGGTTGAGAGTCCGCCTGCCGATGCAGGGGACACGGGTTCGTGCCCCGGTCCGGGAGGATCCCACATGCCGCGGAGCGGCTGGGCCCGTGAGCCGTGGCCGCTGAGCCTGTGCGTCCGGAGCCTGTGCTCCGCAACGGGAGAGGCCACCACAACAGTGAGAGGCCCGCGTACCGCAAAAAAAAAAAAAAGTGCCGACAGCTGTTTGAGTTGCATAGGCAGTAATTTATGGTAGGTGCAGGGCCAGACGCTTGCCCCCGACCCACCCCAGCCCTCTGCAGTGCACGGTGGTCTGCGGGGACTCAGGAGCGTCATGAGATCGCAGGAGAGAAGGCACCCGCCCTCCTCAGCTTGTTCAACACCAGGTCGGAAATCTAAGCGGACAGGAATGATACATGTATGTTTCAGTGCGTGTTGCTTGTTTTCCGTCACTTGCACTCTGCGGGCTCCGGCTGGGCCTGATACCAGGTGGGCTCCACTGAAGCACCGCTTCTTCCATATTATTTTGGTTACTCTGTAGTCTTTGGAAGTTCCTGAGGATGACCCTGCCAGCGTATCTAATAGCAAGATTTCAGGCTGTTGGAATGGAGGAATTCTTTGAAGGCTATCCCAGGAGAGGGGGGAAATATATAAAAAAACCAGAATTACAGTGCAGTTCCGAACACATGAGAGCGAAAACGTGCCTGCTCAGCTTCCACACAACTGGTGAAACAAGCCAGGATGTGCCGGGGTTGGAACCACAGCTCCCTGCCCCAGTGACATGCAGGTGACCTGGGTCAATGACATCCTTGGCCTGTGTGTGCACCCCTGTCTCATTCGGAACAATATCCAGTGTCTTAGAGGTTGCTGAGCAGGTCAGCAGAGTGGGTATGCGGTGGACTACAGAGCGATTACAGATCCATACTTCGCCTTTTTCTAAATCAGTTTTCCGTTCCTCCGTGCAGCCACCAGGGTAGCCACGTGATTATTTAGATGATGTTGGCATGGCTTCAGACATTTGGGACCTATTTTTGAGAATGCCCTTAAAGACCATCGTGCATTCTTTTTCATAAACGCAACTTCTGAGGCTGCATTTGATTTTTTTAATTTCTCTGAAATCACTTGGACTCTAATCTGATTACAAAGGTAAGGTAGCCAAGATGAATAACTACTGGTCTAGGTCAAGGGTGAAGTCAGAGCTGGTTCTGAGCGGTCAGGAGAGTATCCATGAGATGAATGTCCACGTTCACAAGATGAGGAATTGGAAATACATCTTCATTTGGGTGGTGCTGGCATGCTTACCTTTTGGAAGTCCCCTTTATAGACGCTTTGACAGCTCTACTGCAGCGTGCAAAGACTCATGATTTCTTTTCATGATTTGATTTTATTTGATTATTTTTTCCTGTTAGAATAAAACTGACTCACTCAGAATAATTGGAGGAAAGATAAATCTTAGTCTTTATATAGTCTGGCATTTAGATGGAAACCCTTAAAGGAAATTAGAATCTGTTTCCAAGTACATGAATCAGCCCTTGTAGATGCAGAGTACTGCCAAACGTCATAGATTATAGACTTCGGGGCTAAATGAGAGCAAGTAGGGTCTTAGATATAAGATTCTGACTCTAGTTTCCGGTGTGGATTTTTTCCCTCACCATCAAGCCATTGTCTGACACCAGCTGGGTGTCCTACAGTTCCACCCAGTTCTGCTGCTGTCTACCCGGAGACAGCATCAGACCCCACAGGGTAAGCGCCCTGTCCCACAACACCGCCCCTCCCCCTTTCTGCAGACACCAGTGACAAGTCCAGGCTGTCACCTGTGCTTCTGACCTACCAACCGGCTACAGACTGGAGGTTCCAACAACCTTCTCCTTGGACTCAATTACTTTGCTAGAGTGGCTCACAGAACTCAGAGAAATACATTTATTTACTAGACTTCAAGTTTATTATCAAAGAAGGTAACTAAGGCACAGCCAGATGGAAGAGACGCACAGGCGAGGTGTGAGGAGATGGTGTGGAGTTTCATGCCCTCACGAGGTGCACCGCCCTCCCCAAACCTCCACCTGTCTGCCATCCCAAGAACTCTCAGAACCCTGTCCTTTTGCCTCTTTTATGGAGGCTTCATTACATAGGCCTGATTGAGCTGAATCACCAATGGCCAATGATGTAGTTAATCTCCAGCCCCTTCCTCCGCCCTGGAGGTCAGCGGGGGGCGGGGGGGGCACTGAAAGTTCCAACCCTCTAATCACAGGGTTGGTTCTCCTGGCAACAAGCCCACACTTAGATGCTTCCAAAAGTCACCTCGTCCACATAAGATAGCATTACCACTCTCATCATTCAGGAAATTCCAGCAGTTGTAGGAGCTCTGTGCCAGGAAAGGGGGCAAAGACCAAGTATATATTTACTATAAATCACAATATCACAGGTAAATGAGGCGGCGTTATACCAGCTTTGTGGAGTGAATGTTGGGTCTTATCTGCTGTCACATAGCAGAAGGGAAGGGAAGGAAAAGGAAGAGGTCGGGAAAGGGGAGAGGTCCAGGGTTTGAAGCCCTTGCCCCCCTTGAACGCCTTGGGGAGTTCTTTATAGCTTGCTTTCCATTATTTGACTGAGCGAATCCAAATATACAGTATGATTCTGTATGAATTTGTAGATGTACATGGAGTCATATTTACTGCAAAATCTGTTTTCTTATTTGCTTAGCTAAACCTTTATCGTGGAGTATGATATATTTCATCCCATCTCCAATTCAGATATTTAATGGAGTCAGGACACTCGGTAGAAGGGCCCTTAGAAACCATCTAGTTCAGTTCCCACTGTGACCAGTAAGGAACGGGGACCAGGTTACTTGACAGGAGTTAACAGCCAAATGAGCGCTGATGTGTTGCTCAAAATACACTCTTTATGGACACGCATTAATGAATGTTTAAAAGACCCAGCCCAGCAGACTCACCATGAGGGAAAGGAGTCCAATCGTTGTTTTCCCTAATGTTTAAATTGTTTGAGCATCAGCTCAAACGAGTTTAATGATCACCACTTTTGTGCCTTTTATCTTTCCTGGGTTTGTCCAACTTAAATGCCCTAGACTGAAAGAGCCTCATGTCCATGAGAATAGCCTTTCATAGATTTAAACATCCAAGCAGCTTTTTATCACGTCACACCATAGTTGAACTAAAGTAGGTTAGGTAAAAACCTCAGTTAATTAGATTCTGTTTTTGTATATAGCTTTCCCCTGAGGAAAGTTGAAATGATAATTTTTAAAATGGGTTTCTAGAGGAGTTTCTGTATTAAGAAGGCAGATTGGAAAGACCAAGTTCATTTGGAAGAAAAGAACAGGACTTAGAATACAGGACGTCTTAACATCATCTTTTGCCTGTAATTAAAACATGTGATATTCAGAGATTGTCAATAGCTTTAAATTTTTAAACCCATTTCTGCTGTCCAGCTTTAGTCATTAAATGTTAATTCATCAAGTGACCAGAAGGGATCGCTCAAACACATTTTTCTCTGGGGACGTTTACTTTTATTTTCCTTCCTGCTCTCAGCCCAAAGGCAAGGGAAAAAACCGAGATATTCCTTTGGTAGAATGATGTTGCCTCTTTTATCTGGGAAAGTCAGTTTTCAGCTCTGCATTTCAATCCGATTTTAAGACTGTTGGGGCCATCTTAGAAAATATAATAACCTACATAATATAGTCATCTGTACTATTTTTCCAGACAGACTTTCTTCAGAATAAGTGACATTCAGAATGATTCAAATTAGGCAGCTGTGGTCATTTCTTGGGCAAAGGCTTCTGGGTGACTTAAACTGTGGTTCTGGTACCGGGAAGGGCTGGTGCTGAACTCTTTTTGGTCGGCGTGTCTTCCCCTTAGATTAGCACTGTTGAAGAAGAGTGGTGAGGAAGACTGGAGAAACAGGCTTAACAGGAAGCAGGAGTATGGCAAAGCGTCCGTCACCAGCAGCATGCACATCCAAGAAGCAGGACAGTCGCTCAAGAAGAAGGTAACGTTGTCCGTGCGTGGGAAAATCATTCTAACTAACACCACGCTTGGACGTGCATCCACCAGGCGAGCATGCATAACTTAGCTGGTTACTACCCCGGGCAGCATAGCACTGTCTTGCCACGAGGGTCCACACTGAACGCCTGTCCCACAGCGGCTTCAGTGGATCACCAGGTAAAGTCTTGAGATGTTCTAGAACTGTGAACAGCACCACGTGCCTAATGCAGCAGCAAGCAAGTTCCTAAATTTGGAAGTGTGCACTTTCACTTGGGTTTCAGACCTTCTTAAATGAAGTCTGACTTTACAATGTTATCAAAGTCTTTAGAATGAAAAACTGTCATTGACCGCTAACCGTTTCTAAGTTGCATGTAAAATATGGGCTTGAATGTCCTATGCCGAGGTTGAAAACAGGAGTATACAAGAGAAGGACATGCTTGTGGTCGGTGAGGACTTATTTCATAATTGAAGACATGTTTCATGATGAGCAGGTAAGCCTTTTATTGAGAAGGTACTGCAAAGTACATTACAAGTTTCGAGAAAAGTAATACACTGTTGTTGATACGGGCAAGCATTTCTTCATAGGCAAATGTAATTGTTAAATTACTAGTAATGATGACCAGCTTTGACCAGTCAGTGCACACTTTGAAAGCGGATGGTGACTTGCCCACTGCATGGCCCTGTGATTGCCAATGCACCTGCTGGCTGGGGGCGAAGTAGATGGTGTAACACACTCCCACTGGCCAACTTCTAGGATCAAAAGTCTTCAAACAAAAAGGAAAACAACATACTTACAACCAGATGATCACCTGGACCCCTTCGAATCTAAAACAATTTCATACGCATCCGTGGAAGAAAGAAATGATGAATGTGACCTTCAGGCGTTCAGAAACTTACATTAAGAGGAGGTGTGTCCACAGGGCTGCGAGGAGAGAGTTCTGACACTGTTTCCTGTGGCACCCCTGTGTTTTCATAGGTTAAACTGAAACAGCAATTCGAATTCTCTTTTTTGAGACAGACGTGACATTGAAGATAATGACTAAAGACAGTTAAAGCTCAGCCATTTGTAAAGATCTCAAATCTAATTAGATGTTACAGCACCTGTGTAGGAAATCTGGGTTTCCAGAATGAGACCCGGAAGTGAAAGAAAACTCTGTCCCTCAAATCACTGATCCCCACTGCCCACAAACTTTTTGTAAAACTTGATTTGAAATCATTGGTTCACACATAACTTGAGCGCTTCATTCTTGGTCATGTCAAAAGATGCAAAGAAACCTTCCCTAGCAGGTCCCGCACGGCATGGTGAAAAGTAAAGCTGCAAAACACAAAGCCAGGTAGAGCCCTCGTGATCAGTGGAATCGATTTCAGTGCTCTACCCACTTGGGAGACAGAGATCATGCGAGGCTGGGTAACCCAGAGGCTGGGAGTAGCGGGTGAGAACAGAATGGCCTTAACACTAGGCAGAGGGTCTCAGGAGGCGAGAGATGGGAGGAGGTGACTGCGGTTGCCCCTGGCTTGAGTGGGAAGTGGTGTCCTGGGCTCACGGATGCGGCGGGTTCTGCACCAGCAGTGAACTCACTGTCGCTCTCCTGCTGAGTGACCTAGTTCACTTCAGCCCAAGACAATGAGCTCTTTGAAGTTAAAATAAGCCCACCTATTTCCAGTTCTTGTAGCAGGCATGGGGAAATCGCAGGTTCTGTTGAGGTCGGGTGGTTTTCCCATGGCCTCTGATAAGCCCTTAGCTTCGTGTCTTCCCAAGGGCAGGCCGTGTATTTCAGCCACGCCTTCACCAGCTCAGATGAAGCAGGAGAGCCGCGGTGAACCTGATCTGCCTTAAGACAGTCCCCCGGGGCAGCTGGTGGCGGGGTGGGGGTACTCGAGACATGGCCAGGGCTTGCTGGCTGTCCAGACGCTTCTCTGGAGAAGGAAGGACATTCATGACACGTGCTCCATATAGATGGGAGCTTGCTGCCTGGGCTGGAGCTAGACTTGCTAGGGGCACGGGCTCTGGAACCTTCCATCTTTTGCACCAAGGGACAAGGGACTAGATTTACAGTCAGCTCATCACTTCCCGCACAGTTTCTGAGTTCATCAAATGCACATATTCGTGGTTACGAAACTTACCCTTTGGCCTCCTCGAGCTTTTGTGTGCAGTGAGCAGGGTCCCACGAGTTACAGCCTGTGGAGAAGCAGAGGAAGCAGGAGATGGAGACCGGCCTCTATATAAATCACTTCCCCTGTGAAAATCCATGCTGTCCAGTAAAAATATAATGCGAGCCACACGAGTAATTAGAGATTGTCATGCGGCCACGTTAAAGAAATGATGTAAAGGGTGCCTTGAAAATCTAAAACAGTTTTTGTTTCTGTCAAAGGTTTGTCCCAAAACAAAACAAAGTTTCGGTGCTCTAACCCGCATCTCACCGGGGGTCCTATATGGAAGAAAATACTCTTTTGGTCCATGAATAGATTTGAGGTTAGATTTTAAGTTAGTTAGCGTTTTCCTTGCCCTTCTGAAAGATCAGTCATGTCTCAAGAGCTGATGTCACTTAACATCAGTTCCTTGCTTTCCAAATTTATCCCCCCGAAATCAGGATTGACGATTTGGAGCTTAACAGTGCTAATCGTTTACCTGGTGGACCCTGTCGTTTCCTACGACAAACAGCTTGGGTTTTCTCTCTCTCGCTGTGCCTCTTCCCTTCTCCTGTTCGTGGTTTAGGGCATTGCTAACCTGACTTACACATTTTTGCCCTTGGAGTGTATAGAATTAGTTCTAAAGATGGCAAAGCCCATTGGTCTGTAGGTACGGCCAGGCTTGTAGTGCAGGGAATGTGTCCACTGGAACATGGTACGTGGACAGTTTCCTTCAGAGTAACTCATCCCATCCCAAGAGTGAGAGAGATGAAATGAAGCCAAGTTCGAAAGAAAAGGCCTTTGGCAGGAGCCTCTTTGTTTCAACTAAATTGCAGTTACGTATTTGCACCCAATCATTAGTTAAAATTCCAACCCCATTTTGGCATCTTCAGTATTTAAGGCAGAGACGTGACTCCTGTGCCCTTGGGTCAAGATAATCATCAGTGTTTCAGACTTTTTCAGGAAATAAAAACCCTGTATAGAGTTTGTGGTTACAGCCCCGAGTCCACAGCTGAGTCACAGACCAGGATTTGATATCTGGCTCTGCTTCCATCAGCGTGAATCAAGCTAAGGTCTGTGCTGTCCCCAGAACAAGTCCTTGAAAATTCTAGGAAGATCAGTCCGCCACATTCGTGTCCTGATTGGCTCTGTCATTGAAATTCGAAATCCCAATTCAAGAGCGTGAAGTCAGTTGAAGGAACCAGGCTAAGAGGGCCAGGAAGGCTGTTGGTATGACCCCCAAATTAAAGATTATTATCCCACTGACGAGTGATGAGTTCACTTGGTGTTTGTGCCACCCGACCGTGTGGGCATGTGCATGCTTTTCCTGGAACCCAGCACAGAGTTCTCGAAGATGACTGTGACACCGTAACCCGATCCTACCCTTCCAGCCCTCTGCAGTGTCTCCTATTTGTTTTAACCTGTAGGAAGAAGGAGCATTGACAGATGATAATGCCGTTTCTAATCTGCTCTGGGTAAGCCTGACTCTCGCGTAGATCTCCTCGCCACGTGTAACTCTCATCCCCGACGGTTCCCCTTGGCGCCCCTCTCTGTTTGGTTTTCTTATCCCGAGGCAAGATGCCACCTTGATCCAGAGTGGAGCGCTATCCTGTTTCCTGAAATTTTGTTTCAACCGTAGAGTGAAAAAACTTGAAAGACGTTGAAGAAGATATTTTATATTCGATGTTAAAACGGTCCATGGAAGTCAGGGTTCCCCTGTATGTCACGGAATATCTTCTGTAAACTGCAGTAATCTTGCCAGTAACTCAATTACTGCACAGAGCTGACTTGGGTCTATTTACTGTGCTTATGTGGGGATTTCTGTTAGCATTCTAAAAAAATAAGTAGGACGGACTCTTTTGGGAAGCGAATTGAAATTGCAATGAGTAAATTAACTTTCTGTGAGAGAAATCCTTGTTTTTGTCCCTCCCCCTTCCCCACCCCGCTGTGATAAATCTTCTCTTTTCACCTCTAATCCTCTTGCTTTGCTCTATAGGAACCTGTATATGCTTCTACTTATTCTCCTGCTATACCTGCTGCCCATAAATACCTGTCTTTTGTATCTATTAATCAGGTGAGGAATTGCCTACACGTATTAAGCCTCATTGCAATTTCTGAGCAGCAGGGAGAAACTTGTTTCATTTGGGGAAGTAACTCCTGCTGCATTTCTGTGTGTGTGTGTGTGTGTGTGCGCGCGCAGATGTAATTGCTACTTCATATATTTAGGGTCAGTCACCCACACCTCAACTTTCGCTCAGACCCCTAGGGAGACCTATGGTGTTAATTCATCTCATAGTCACGTAATTGGTTGAAGAGGAAAGTCCCCCATTTTAATCTCCAAGGTTTATATCCTAAATTGAGTCAGGAGCCCAAGAAAGGACCCCGGGGCTATCTTGATAAAGTAGGAGGAGGTGGCCCAGGTGCTTTGGGGCGTGGAAGAGACAGGATGGAAGAGGCGGTCCTGATGGGAGCTAGCTGCCATGGTGCTGTTGGCATGGCAACCACAGCCCTCCTTCCCCACTCTCCACCTCCACTGCACCCCGTCCGAACCCCGCCACAGAAGGGAGACCTAGCCTGGGCTGATATGATACATTGGTACCTGATATGTGATGATGCTTGAAGCTAAAAGTACCAGTGATTGTTACTCCCCTTGGAATGTCCCTGGGGTCAAAGCAGCTAGAAACAGTGGCCGCATCCCCTTTGCCGCGAGCCCCAGGTGCTAGTTGCCTTCCGTCTGGGGGACCTGGCCGGTCACTCCCCTCTTAGGGTTTCTGTCTCCTCACCAGCCCTGGGACCACGCCTCTCAGGTGGCCTCCAACTAGAAGTCTCATGACTGTTCTGTTCCTTTAGGACTAGTGGTGGCCAAACAGGTCT